GTTGTGCTGTTTTTAGCCACTGTTGTGCTGTTTTTAGCTAGCAATGTGTGGTTTTTAGCTACTGTTGTGCTGTTTTTAGCCACTGTTGTGCTGTTTTTAGCCACTGTTGTGCGGTTTTTAGCTACTGTTGTGCTGTTTTTAGCTAGCAGTGTGTGGTTTTTAGCTACTGTTGTGCTGTTTTTAGCTAGCAGTGTGTGGTTTTTAGCTACTGTTGTGCTGTTTTTAGCCACTGTTGTGCTGTTTTTAGCCACTGTTGTGCTGTTTTTAGCTAGCAATGTGTGGTTTTTAGCCACTGTTGTGCTGTTTTTAGCTAGCAATGTGTGGTTTTTAGCTACTTTTATGCTGTTTTTAACTAGCAATGTGTTTTTTATCTATTGTTGTCCTGTTTTTAGCCACTGTTGTGCTGTTTTTAGCTACTGTTGTGCTGTTTTTAGCTAGCAATGTGTGGTTTTTAGCTACTTTTATGCTGTTTTTAACTAGCAATGTGTTTTTTATCTATTGTTGTCCTGTTTTTAGCCACTGTTGTGCTGTTTTTAGCTAGCAATGTGTGGTTTTTAGCTACTTTTGTGCTGTTTTTAGCCACTGTTGTGCTGTTTTTAGCTAGCAATGTGTGGTTTTTAGCTATTGTCCTGTTTTTAGCTACTGTTGTGCTGTTTTTAGCTACCGTTCAGCTGTCTTTGCTGCTCTGCTGATTTTAGCTATTGTTGTGCTGTTTTTAGAGACAAATCTGCTGCTTTTATCTTTTAGACTGGTTTTGTTCATTTTAGCCTCTGTTTTGCTGAACCTTAACCCAGTTTTAGCCTCTTCAGATAATTTCAGCTGTTATTCAGCTCTCATCCTTCACTCTGCAGCTTCACAGGAAGCAGTTCTTCTAGTATGTTTTAGCATAACTTACTTCCTGTTTTGAGTTTGAGCAGCTTCCTGTTTGTTTTAGCAGTGAGGTCTGAGGTAAAGAAAGATAAAAATGAAATGAAAGCAGGAAGTTGTGAGTTTGAAGACAAACCTGACGCCTCCTCTTTGACACGAGCACAGCTCAGAACCGCTCCCAAATTAAAAACCTGCTTTCATCACGGTCCTCTTCATCCTCTTCATCCTCTTCTTCCTCTTCWTCCTCMTCATCCTCTTCWTCCTCTTCWTCCTCTTCTTCCTCTTCWTCCTCTTCWTCCTCGTCATTCAAGTCGCTGAGCTTTGGTTTTTCTTTCAGCCTGGAAAGAAAAAAGTCTGTAATTGCTTTTCAAAGAGCGAGGAGAGAGGGAGGACAGTCYAGTGTTTAGTCTTTAAATACTAAAGTTTCTCATCATTATAAAACGTCTGAACCGGCCCAGGACCTCTGGAGCCACCATGATGGAACCAGCTCAGAATCTGCTGAGTCACTYCTTTCCTCAGCATCACAAACTCTTCCTGGTAGGGTTGTCAAAGTTGTCCAGTATTTCAAAGTAAATATTGCGTGAGTTTTTTCTAGGGGTTTTTTTGTGTGTGTTTGTTATTATTTTTAGGATTATTTATGTTTAATCCCTTTTGTTGTTGTTGTTTTTGCTCAGTCTTGTTTTCCTCGTGTCAACTCTTCAGATTTCCTCWGTTTAAAACCATCTGTGTCATCACGCTTTGTTCATGCCAGCCCGACTGGCTAAAAGTAGCAAAAGGCTAAAACTTGGACCTGAATGTAGCTAAATGCTAACATGAAAGCTAAAAGAAGCAAACCTGAGATTGATTCTTGTTTTAGTTTTTATCTTTGGCTCCTGTTTGTTTCCTGGAAATTAAAATTAATTAACTTTTCTATTTAAAAACTATCCATCAGTTATTTCATTTCTCTGGATTATTAAACTCTGATATTTGACGAGGTGGAGGCTTATCCGTTCACCCTCATCTTCGTCTTCGTCTCCCTCCGATGCTCTTTCAAAATAAAGGTCTGCTGAATTATAAATGTCAGGAGGAGGCAGAGGAGAGCTGATCTTCTCTGCAGCTGGGCCCGATCCAGGTGATAAAGAGCGTGATTAAAAATGTATTAATTAGAAGAGTTTAGGTCCTGGTTAATGTTTTATTGTTTAATGATTATTTGTTTACTGTTGTGTTGTGTTATTTATGGAGCCGGGAACACGAGGAGCATCAACAGGTTCGGTCAGACTTCACAAAAGTTTGCCTTTTTTCAACTTCCTGCCAAGGATCACCGTGCTAAAGACAGAACTGAAGAGAAAAAACAGATTTTAGGGTTTGAGCGTATTTATGATGTAAACAGTTGTAGATGGACCGAGGATGAAGAGCTGATAAAGAAGTTTACAGGAAGTTTATTTTGTATTTAACTGTTCGTATCTACAGGAAACAGAGAACTGTAGAGCTGGATCTTCTGCTGAACTTTAGCTCTGTCCATCACCATTATTACTGGACCTCCATGAGAAGCTGCTTCATGTCAGCAGGCCTGGTGGGACAACACTGCCCCCTGCTGGAGGGAGCGTGTAGTGCAGCGTTCAGCTCACTGCTGCAGTGATATCACCACTGTGACGTCACTTCCTGTAAAACAGCGTGTTTATATTCACCTGGACTCAGACGGCTTTTAGAAATAATTCACGTTTTTATTTAAATCAGTGGAAAACATCTCAACGACTCCTCAGAGTTCTAGTTTTATA